GCGGCGTGGCTCGTCTGTTCCACCGACGGCGTGGTGGGGAGAAAAGAGGGGGAAGGGTGCGACGGCGGCGGCGGCGGCGGCGACGGCTCCATCGGACTACCGCGGCCGGCGATCCATTTCCCTAAGCAGAGCGCTCATCGGTCGGATGTTCTGGAGCCTAGTGGCCAGGGGTAGAGGGGTTAGGAGCGGGGGAGGCAGCGGCAGCTGCAGCGAGGGAGACGCAAAGGTGACGCACTGCACGCGAATTGAGGCATTCTAGTGAACGGCCACGGAACAATGAAACGCGTGACCCGTGCATTCCCCTGCGCATAGGAATTGAAGCGATGAGCAATGAGCAATTTGTGTAGGAGCGGTAAAAAAAAATCATGTGTTGCATCTACGTTACTTCATCTTCATGTGTCGCGAAGTTACATTCATTTTTTCACAAACGAAAATGTTACGGTAAAAAAAAATTATTTCACGAATATTTTTATCTTCAAAGTAAGATTTAACAACAAGTAGTGACGTGTCGGACGTGGAAGAAAACTCGAAACTAACAGGCTGATGAATGCGCGTGTTAATTTTTGTGACTGAAGTCAAGACACTTCTCTTTGAAGGAAATCAAGAATCTCGCGCTGTCTGGCCGCATTTGATGAAATAATTTTTTAGACAAGAGAGAGAAGTATAAATGTTGATGTTGCCGCACTTCTTAATTTCATATAACAGTGCTTATTTTGCCAGTTGTTTAATTATATCAAACATTCAGCAGATGTAAATTTTACGTTGCTGCTGCTGCTGATGATGATGATGATGACTATGATGATGATTATAATGTTTATTAAGATTTAAGGGTGCTTCAACAGCTGTCATTGGAGGCCTTGACAAATTATTTTAAGAGCAGTACGTACTGTGAAGTGCGAAGATAAAACATTATTTCAGTGCAAAGTAAAATGTAGGTAAAACTGAACATGAACGTGATCAATTATAAAAAGAGATTGACAAAAAAGAGCCAGATAAACACTTTAAATCTCTAAAAGCCAAATAATTGGCATTATCTTCTCCTGTCAAATAAGGCTGTAGATGTTGGTCTCTCGTGAAAAGCTAATAAGCTTGCAGAGACATGATTCGTCAATTCCAAGTACCTCTGCTAGACAGCTAGCTATGTGATGCCTCAAAACAGTGCAGGAGATCACGCCCCACGGTAAGATCCGTCTTGCAACTATCGCCAGTAGGGGATGGGTCACCGCGGAGATGTACGTGGGAATATGGCAATGACCGATTACAATTCTACGTTGCAATTAAAGTAATGCCAACTAACTTATCAGAGAAAATATAAAATGTAATATTAATGCTCTTAAAAAGGAATCAGAAACACGTGTGAACCTTTGCAAAACATCGCAGATAATACTAATGACGTGCAGAAAAATGTGCTGTAGCCTGAGTGTGCAAAGTACGAACAGAGTTTTTGACGTAAAATAAACCATATCTGTGATCTAAGAAAATGACACACGATATTTTCAATGCACTTAAGTTGACAGAGTTCTGTTTTTCCTCACTGCTCATTTTCTTTTAAAGCAAAACGAACCTACGCAGGTTTCCTGTAATTGGAATCTCGAACCTGTAATCTGTTTAGTTGGTCGCATTGAAATTACAGAGAATCTTTGGAGTGATAAACTATTTTCACACGCTACGTCAGCAAAGCTAGAAAGTTGCTGGAAAGTTTCAAAATCGAAAATAATGGTCTCTTGAAGACTTTGGTCACATTGTTTCCCACTAAAGTAGGTGCAAACTTTATATAGTACAATGATTTCTTGTAATTGTAGTTAGCATTGAATAACTAGTTAATTACCCTAAATTTATACGAAGCATTTTCTAATTGGGCTTATATTTTCACGACAATGATATTCTAAGACTCCGAAGTAGACGAGTATTACTGACTCTCTAATAGTTGTTAAGGCGTCGCTACACTTCTACTTCCATTACTTCTACATCCACCTCCAGTACCCGAAGCACTGCAAAGGCCGCGGACGTATACGCAAAGGCGCCACCTAGGGAAATGGCTCCAGATCGAACTGGATCGTGGACCGGCGTCAACACGAAGTGGGTCTCCGATGGAGGAGACGGGG